TGCTGCTTCGCCCGGAAGTGGTGATGAACAAGCTTCTTTTCCACCACCACCAACACAACCTCCTCCGAACCTTGAAGGATTTATGAAATTTGTTAGAGATACAATGTAGATTATGGTGTACCTTGTACTTTGGCATATCTTCTTTTAGTTTTTTTTCCTTTTAATTGTGGTATTAGTACCTTGTTGTGCTCATTCCATTAGGGGGAGGAAGACTAAGAAAGATATGTCATTTTTGGTAATAAAATTTTTAAGACATGCCCTTGAATATATTTATGCAATATTTTTCGGGTCTTTAACTTGCAATTATTTATAAGCTATAATATATACACATAACATACAATATATACTACNTACATATATATTTTTAATATAGCCATGATACTACAATAAATTGCCTTACAAAAAAAAACTGCTAGGCCCACGAGCCCGACCCGTTTAGCCCAGGACCACATGGGCTTAGGCCCGTCACGGGCCGGTTCCACCCAGTGAGCCCAAGAAGCCCGAGACCGCCAGAGCCCAGGCCCACGAAGCCCGACCCGGGCTAGAATACACTCTTAGGTAGATATGGAGAGTATGGAGGATCATCCGGCATTGTGTTCGGTGTTTGGGTAAGGATAGAGTCCAGGAAGCTAGGCGGTGGTGGGAGGGGCTTTCCCAGTCATCCATGCCCGATACATGTCTGCCACATGCTGTCTCAACATTTTTACCTATTCTGCCAATCCGTTGTTCTGTTCAACCGACTGCTTTCGGGCATTGGTACCAACCCGCTCAGTTCTGTTGTTCTCTGCCATTGTCTTTGGCCTTTGTGTTGCAGGGAAGAGTTACCTTAAAACCACAAACCAACCACCTTTCTGAAATGACATGCCAAAATGAAACCATCATGTTAGCGTTAGGGCATTTAACACATTGGTAATCGCACATCTGGGGAATGAATGCACCTAAACAGTTGATAATTTCTATTATGCATTTGCTCGACTGCTTGCGTCATTCCGGCTTTCCTTTTTCCCGACTGCAATTTTCTTTCTCTTTTTTTCCTTTTCTTTTTCTTTTTCTTTTCCTTCCCCCTTTTTCATTCTTGCTTTTGCTTTCTTTTGTTCTTATTCTCTCGTTTCCTCTTGTTTTGTCGTTGTTCCTTTCATTTGGTTTCTGTTTTCTCTCATTTGCTTTTCTTTCCTCTCTTGTTTTCACCCTTTTTATTTTCCTCTCTTGTCCTTTCTTTCTTTCTTTCTTTTATTTTGACTTCTTTTGCCGTGATTTTCTTGGTTTTTCTCATTTTTCCCGCTCTTTTGCTTTTTCTGATTTTATTTCATTTTCTTTCCTATATCTTTTTGCTTTTTCTCTTAAGGTTACGGTCGAATCCGATGAGGATTGCTTACGTATCATGATCCCGCATGAATCAGACCAAGCGTAGTTCGTGCAAATAAAAGGTAAACAACAACAAAACATTTTTGGAATTTTCAATTTTTTGCAATAAAATAAACTTTGACTACAAAGGTTTAAAAACTGACAAACTTAAACTAGCAGCCTCTGACGAAAAAACGAAATATCGACTCAAAAATCAAACGGCCTACATACTTTAATCAAAAGAAATACAAACTTAAAAACAAACTGACAGATTCATTTCCCTATATGCCAACTTTAACCAAGTGACTGTTTTTGCAAGCATGTCCCCTTCCCAATTTCACATGAATTTAGAGGCCGAGAGGATTATATTATGACACTTCATAAACTTGTCCGTTGTTTTACAAAATAGTCTTTCGACAATTGAAAGATACTCTAAGGCTATCTCGGCAAGAATGGTTTACGACACCGCCGAAGCTGGGCAGACTTATTTTGACCAAAAATCCAAACGGCATTCACTTGCCCACTAACTCTTTTTTCTTGTTTTTCAAATTAAAATGAAAGACCTGATTTTGCAAACACGGCCTTTCAGCACCTCGGGGACGAAGATTTTAAGGTTGCGTTAGCTAACCGGCCAAAAACCTAAAAAATGACCAAAGGTGGCTGTTTATGCAAAATCAGCCTTCCGGCGTCGCTTTCGGGGATATGCGGCTATTTTTGACAAAAACGACATCACCTGACTTATTTATGACTCTTTTTCTTGTTTTTCAAATTAAAATAAAAGACCTGGTTTTGCAAACACTGCCTTTCAGCGCCTCGAAGATGAAGATTTTAAGGTTGCGTTAGCAAACTCGCCAAAATCCTGAAAAATGACCCAAGGTGACTGTTTATGCAAAGCCAGCCTTCGGACGTCCCTTTCGGGAACATTCGACTATTTTTGACAAAAACGCATCACCCGACTTATTTATGACGAAAATTAAAACTTTGACACTTTTGGCTATTTTTGCAAAGAGGAGGTTGGACCCGATGAGAGTTGCCTACGTATCTCACGCCCTGTGAGAATCAAACCTGCGTAGTTCACGCAAAGAAACTAACTATATTTTTGAAAACAAGACTCTTTCTTTTTCATTTTCCATGGCAAGACAAACTATTTTTCCTTTTCTATTTTTTTGAAAACAAGACTCTTTCTTTTTCATTTTCCATGGCAAGACAAACTATTTTTCCTTTTCTATTTTTTTGAAAACAAGACAAAACAACGACTTTTTTTCTTTTTCATTTTCAACAAACAATAAACAACCTATTTTTTCCAAACTAAAATAAAGACTCTTTTTCTTTTTCTTTTTCTTTTTCAACAAACAACTTTCCAAAAAATAAAAGACTCTTTTTCTATTTTTCTTTTGCTTTTTAGTAAAACAAACTATTAAAAATAAAACATTTTTCTATTTCATTTTCTCAAAATTTTTTGCAGAGTTTCGATAGTATTTGGGCATTGGTTTTTCTAAAACTAAGCAATTAACTCTCAACACTGCTATTTCTCTCTTTTTCTCTTTTTCTCTTTTTCTCAATTTTTCGATATTCCCGATTTTCAGAGGACGGTCATCATGCAAGTTTGAGGCAAATAAATGCGTAAAATAAGTAGGATGCATCAGTATGGTCTTTTCATTTCAGGTTGCTAGTCCTAGACGGGCCCAACCCCTGTGTTGAGTCCCCTAAGTCAAATGCAACATGATGCAAATAAGCGTTTCTACTAGGGATCCGGCATGAAGTCAAGTTATTATAGGTTCAAAAACCTGGGTATGTGTTCTAAACAGTGTACCCGAGCAGACAACTCGAGTCGAGGAGGGGGCTACGTATCGGGGACCCGCGAGATCGTTCGGCTTTGAAACTTGTCCGGGCCTCTTTTTATTTCAGGGTATTATACTAACAGAATAGGGAGTTTCAATCAGTAAGCACATCCCCGGAGGTGAGAAGAGAAGGGTTTCGGCACAGTTTATATATAGTTCAGATAATATCAAAGCGGTAAACATTTAGCACATTAAGCATGAGACATGTAGGAAAATCAGATAACGCCAAATACAATAATTATTCTAAGTTCCCCAAACATTCAGAAATTCTGGGTTCGCTCCCCAGTAGAGTCGCCAGAGCTGTCATACCTCCTTTTTCACTACACCCGCAAGGGCGTAAAGGAGTTTTTCCAATTAAAGGACTATCGGAACGAGATTTATTATTAAGATTTTAGAGTCGCCACTTGGGAGATTAATGGTGTCCAAAGTCACCGATTGAATCTCGAACCGAGGAAAATATGATTCTGTTAACAATCCGCGAACCAGAAATCCGAGTAAAAGCCCATTTGGCTTAGCTAATTTAGAGTAGCTGATAAACATTAGGGGCTGAAAAGTACTTTTAAGTGCTGAAGCTGATTTAAAAAATAAGCAGTTACGTGTTTGGATAAAAGTGCTGAAATTAATAATAAGCAACTAAAGAACTGGGTATACGAAGAGTTTTGTTTAAAAAAAATTATTTTAGGGATAGAATAGTAAATATTTTGGTCAAACCTAAAGTGCTTATAAGCTGAAATTTGATAAGTTGGGGGAGACCAACTTATGGCTTTTGGCTTATTTTTGACTTATAAGCACTTAACTTATAAGCACTTTCAATTTTACCAAATGCGTAGATAAGCCAAAAAATGTTTATAAGTCAGTTTGACCAGCTTATAAGCTTAGCCAAACACCCTCTAAGGAATTTTATTAACCCGGGAGAAGGTGTTAGGCATTCCCGGGTTCCGTGGTTCTAGAACGGTCGCTTAACTGTCGTATTTGGTTTTATCTAGTTTCAAAAAATGTCTTAGCTTATGTGCTTTTTAATTTTAAACCTCTTTTATTATTATTTTTAATGAGAATTACAACGTCGTGAAAACGCGTCTCAAACCACGTCACATCAATGCACCCGTGGTTGTTGACACATTTCGACTTCGTTGAGATTTGGATTTGGGTCACATAAATGCGCACTCGAATTTAGGAAGGTAAATTATTAAAATACGCGCCTAAAGAGACTAACGCGTTATTATCTTTGGGGAGGGCCGTGAAATTCGCTAAACGACCCGTCCCAAATTCTAAATATTTTAAAGGCATAATTATACGAGAGCCACGCATTTGTCATTTTATTTGGCGCGGCGCACCTCAAGTCCATTTTAAAAGATGTTTAAACTTACAAGAAAAATTCGGAGGGCCACACACTATTTGTTATCTATTATGGCTCACCTCCAATTGAAGAGAATTCAATTATCTAGGTGCTAAAGGGTCCAGACCATACTAAAGATAAAACTAACAGAATGTAATAAAAAGCTAATGGCTGAAATCAAAATCCAGGCCTAGCGTGAGGCCCAACTTTCCACTATCATAAGATCCTTGGGGCTTCGATGTCAAACCAAACTAAGTCTAAGAAAGAGCCCAAGTTTCACAGCAGTAAAGAGAAATACTTAACATATAAGCTTCTGAATAAGCTTAGTTTGCATGCTCTAACCAAAACTAATAATGCAACTGACCTGATTCCTCATAATCAACTGGAAAATAGCATATGCATTCACATAAGTTGTGCATCTATTTAATTTCCAAAAGAAAGTAGTAAGTAGAAAACTTGCAGAACATGCGTGCCACAAATTCATAAAAAACCGCTGCTAGTATTCATTCAAATGCATCTCAACTCCTTCACACCATGACTGTAAATTAGACAAAACTCACACTGAATCCTGATCAAAGAATACTAAACTTTACCCTCCCTTGAAATGCACAAGATTTCTCCCATTTAAACAACCCCGAAACTCGCCAAGACTCAGCAAAATTGTAGCTAGAAATTCCAGCACAAAAGAACAACAAAACAGCCCTTGAAACCAAACAAACGACCCAAAAAGAAACCCCAAAACAGTTGTATTACTGCTGAAAATCGGCCCCCCAGAACACCTTCTTCTTCCCCTCAAAAGACTACCATTTTCAGAGTAAAAAAAAGCCGATTTCGCACCATAAAACAACAGTGAAAAGCCCCGAAATCAGTACGAAAATCAGGCCAAAATCACATTTCAAAATCAGGGGTAACACATGATCGATTAAATAACACGCTCGGTATCACTCAAATTTATACTTACCCAGAAACGAAATCAGTTGAAAACAAACAAACTACAGAATCCTCCATTTTGGTTCAACAAAGCATGTGGTATCAAGCAAAGCGTTGCCTGATTTAATAGAATTATGTACCAAGGAAATCTAAGTTCCAACAATGATTTATTTCAATCAAAGAGCAAGAGAACTACTAAACTTCAACAAGAGAACTACCAAATTCGAACAGCTCTCACCACACATGGAGAATCAGTGATGTTAAAAAGAAGAATGAGATAGGCCTGAAGTTAGAGTTTTCTGATTAATCAAACCGAGGCAATTACACGGACTGAAACAGAGCAGCAGTTACAACTAAATCAACACAACTTTAACACTTAAATCACACGAGTTTCACTATTAATGCCACTGCTGAAAAGAAACGAAGATGTTGTCTAATCTAGATTCCAACAACATGCTACTACAAGTAAACTAAGAGAATGCTAACAGCAGGCAATCAAGCAGCAACCCATGTTCTTCCAGACAATCTCATGGGAGCAGATGTTTTGCAAAGAAAGGAAACAAATAATATACAACTCGTATTCCTAGAAAACACACGATCGATTTTCATACTTATTTTTGCCCTGCTATTCCAAACAGCATGTTTAAGAAATGACTAAATCAAATACTTCAGATAAATTCTTAAACATTCCAACTGATGTTAAAAGAAACAGAAAAATGGATATAAAATCCAGTCGATCATAACAAATGGAAAGAACAGGGAGGAAGAAAAGAGAGCTAAGATTTCATCATAGTAACAAGGAAGTATTCAGGGACATATGCAGACTTTATTCAATTCATAGCACAGGGTAGTTCGATATCACTTAATTTCGAAAATGAAACTAGTACCTGAAATCACCTTTTCAATTAACAAAGTTTGGCGATTACAGCGGATCACTCGAACCAAAACCAAATGAATCCACAACAAAGGATTTCAGAACCAAAACCAAATGAATCAATGAAGACCAGGATACCTCGACGGGAATCTACGACGAACAACAATGACGATGAACTCAAAACAGCCTCCGCTCAATCGAATTCCACATTAGAACCAGAATCCGGAATGATCATGAAAACAGAGTATCTTTTTTTGGTCTTTTGAAATAACCTCAGGTCTGAAGAATGAAATTCAAGGATAGAAAAAAACAAACTAAAACTCTTTGCTTTTGTATTTTCTGGAAATTCAAGAAACAAAGAAGAAGAAGTCACAATTTACTCTCTGAAAATCTATTCCCAAAACTTTTCTCTCAAAAAATCCAGACCCCCCCTCACAAGAAATTAACTCACCTCAAATATACTTCAAGCTTCTCGAACCTTCTGGCTTTACCTCCAAGAAATTCCCCGAATCTTATCCCCAATTCCAAAAAAGCCACCAAAATCTCCGCAAGGAACAAAACTCGGACAAAATGGAAGGCGTGGATGTGATTTCTCACATCCAACCGCTCCCATTTACCCGAGATTTATCCCTCGAAATCAAGAGCGCGTGAAGATGGCAAAACGCTGAAAATATTCTGTCAGAGACAGTTATGCCACGTTGGAGAGAGAGGAGGAGAGACCATGTGACGAGTTAGATGAACTCGTCTGAATACTCGGGCGAGTTTGGCAAGCTCAACGAGGCGAACCCAGTTGGAGATGGGCGCCACCTTTGAGGTCTCTAGATTTAGGGTTCTACTTCAATTTGGAATGGAGTAAAATGAGAGACAAAGAGGGAATTGGGTCGTTTAATGCTGGGAATGGGTGAAACGACGTAGTTTAGAACTAAAACTACGTCGTTTTGGCTAGCACAAAGTGGACCGGGCATTAGGGGTCTGGACATGGTTGGGGCGTGTCCAGTTGGGTTGATTGGGGTAGGTTTAAGGGCGTTTGGGCCTGGGGGTTTTAAATTAAAATGTCCCAAATGGGGTCTTTTTGTTAAGAAGACCCCTTCTTTATTTTCCAACAACTAAAAATAACACCTAAAGTAATCCCTAAGTCAAATTATCCTATCACAAATACTAATTAATTCTAGATAATAATCAACAAAAATAATTAAGAACCAAATTTAAAGGAGAACTACCAAAATCAACAACCAAGATTAAAATATGCAAAATGAGATATTTTTGTATTTTTCTTTTATAAAATAACTTAATAAAATGCAAAATTAACTCCTAAATGCAATACACTTATATTTTGTATTTTTTATTAATTAAATATGCACAGATAAATACCAACAACTAACACAAAAATAACACAAAATTCACAAAATTGCAAAATATTGAAAGAAATCATTTTGTTTGAATTTTTGGGAATAATTCATGTAGGGCAAAAATCACGTGCTCACAGCTGCCCCTCTTTGCCCGGAAACACGAAGAGTTTTCGCGTAAAGATAAGTGAGCAAATACGAGCGATTAAATAAAGAGCTGACCGCACCCTGCTTCAGAGTTTGTCTACATATCCTGGGCTAAACAAGAATCAAGTCATTGTAGTTCGGGAATGTCTGGTAGTTGGGACTACCAGAAGCTGTAATTTCACTACAATTGTTGCTGCTACTGCTTGCTGACCTCCCTTATTACACCATGTCAAAATAAAAGAAGATAAACTAAGCTATGACCTATGAATTACAAAATCCTATCTAAAGTCTTCAAACTTGCTCTAGTACTTCCTTGTTTCCTTGTTGTCTTGTGTTCTCCCGGTGGGATCCATTTGTTGCCTCTTCGAATTGTAAACTGAGATGTTGTTCCTTTTCTTCAAACTGCTGAACTTGAATGTATTCCACTGTTGTACGGGCGGGCTCCCGACTGCTGAACTTGAACCTGAATGTATTCCTCTAATCTCCAGGAGGGCTCCTGACTTCACAAAATAGACACAACAAATAAAACTTTCTGTCCCAGTTTGGAAACTGGGTACATGTTACCGGATATTAATAATAATTTAAACTAAAACCTAAATTATGATACCTCTGTTCTCCAGGCGGGTTCCTGCCTTCAAAACTTGAATGTATTCCCATGCTCTCCAGGTGGGCTCCTGACTTCTAAACTTGAAAGTGTTCTCATGCTCTCCAGGCGGGCTCCTGACTTCACAACTTGACAAAACAAACATTTGAAAGCTGAAACTTAAATTGTACTCCCTTGTTCTCCAAGCGGGATCCTGACTGCTGCGCTTGAATGTATTCCCATGCTATCTAGGCGGGCTCTTGACTTCAAACTTGAAATGTATTCCCATGCTCTCCAGGCAAGCTCCTGACTTCAAAATATACAAAACAAAGAATTTGAAAGCTAAAACTTAAATTGTACTCCCTAGTTCCCCAAGCGGGCTCCTGACTGCTGCACTTGAATGTATTCTCATGCTTTCCAGGCGGGATCCTAATTGCTGAACTTGAAAAGTATTCTCATGCTCTCCAGGTGAGCTCCTGACTTCTGAACTTGAAAGTATTCCCATGTTATCCAGGCGGACTTCTAACTTCAAAATAGACAAAACAAAAAATTTGAAAGTTGAAACTTAAATTGTACTCCCTTGTTCTCCAGGCGGGCTCCTGACTGCTGCACTTGAATGTATTCCCATGCTCTCCAGACAGGCTCCTAATTGCTGAACTCGAAAGTATTCCCATGCTATCTAGGCGAGCTCCTGACTTCAATATAGACAAAAAGAAAGAATTTGATAGATAAAACTTAAATTGTACTCCCTTGTTCTCCAAGGGGCTCCTGACTGCTGCGCTTGAAATGTATTCCCATGCTCTCCAGGCGGGCTCCTGACTTCTGAACTTGAAAGTATTCCCATTCTCTCCAGGCAGGCTCCTAACTTCAAAATAAACAAAACAAAGAATTTTGAAAGATAAAACTTAAATTATACTCCCTTGTTCTCTAGGCGGGCTCCTGACTGCTGCGCTTGAATGTATTCCCATGCTCTCCAGGCGGGCTCCTGTCTTCTGAACTTGAAAGTATTCCCATGAACTCCAAGCGGGCTCCTGACTTCAAAATAGACAAAGCAAAGAATTTGTAAGCTAAAACTTAAATTGTACTCCCTTGTTCTCCAGGCGGGCTCCTGACTGCTGCACTTGAATGTATTCCCATGCTCTCCAGGCGGGCTCCTGACTTCTGAACTTGAAAGTATTCACATGCTCTCCAGGTGGGCTCCTGACTTCAAAATAGACAAAGCACAGAATTTGAAAGCTAAAACTTAAATTGTACTCCCTTATTCTCTAGGCGGGCTCCTGACTGTTGCGCTTGAAATGTATTCCCATGCTCTCCAGGCGGGCTCCTAACTTCTGAACTTGAAAGTATTACCATGCTATCCAGGCGGGCTCCTGACTTCAAGAAAACATACAAAACAAGGAAAATTTTCTGCCCCAGTGTGGAAGCTGGGTGTATGGGTGAGTGTTACCGAATCATATACCAACTATTACTAAGAGTTTGAAAGCTAAGTCCTATTATCCAGGGAGGTCCTGACAACTCCTAATCTAAGTTATATCTTCTAAAGGTATTACTCTCACTACATTATGCTATCTACAGGGTTTTTCCGAACTACATCCTATTATCCAGGTAGGTCCTGACAACTCCTACTTGAATTTCATCCTAAACATGCAAACTGGGAACCAACTTACACTCCCCTACGCTACACATTACTATTTTTTATTTTAATCATACTACACTTTGCGGTCAAATCTGATTACTGCTTGTTTTTCTCTTATGGAGAGTTCCTCCGGAACAACCAACTTTTCTGCCCCTGTTTCAATCAAAGAAAATTCCGTCAGTTTAAAATGGTGGTTGGTTTGTGGCCTTGAACTTAGTAGCGATTTCTCCTGCACTTTCCATGTTGACTGATTTCCACTCGAAGACCTTGCTTGTTTTGGAACCAAACCCTTTTCTGTCGCCCTCATCACATAAGGTGCACATGGCATGAACCGACATTCCCCAACCTTTGTTTCTCACATGAATCCCACAGCACGTCTATTGCTTCCACTCCGTGTATATGTTGTTCTTTCTTGACTTATCCATGATAACTTTCATTTCCATTTGAAGACCCCACTTGATTCTTGCCTAACCCCTTCCTTTCATTCAAACCCTTAACTTTATGTTTGTTGCACTACTTCTGAACTGACTTTTATCAACCCTTGTGCCTCATGCTAACCCTAAAACATGTTGATTGCTACCCACATCCTGTTGTTCTTCTAAACTAAACCCTCTGACCTTGAAGAAGTCTATGCTCCTTCGCTTGTCATGATAACTTTTGATTTCACGCTAAAAGGCATTGCTTGCTTATTGACGAACCCATTCCTCTGTCATCCTTATCCCAGAAAATACCTCTTCTCCATTCCAATTCAATACTCTCTATTTGTTGCATTGCTCATGACCCGACATCTATCACATTTTTTGTTTCACCAGGATCCCCCAAATCATGTTGATTATTACCAGTTCAGTGTTTTTATTGTTTTTCTTGACTTGTTACACTTTGACATACTAGCCAGACCCCATTTTCTGCAATTGGAAAGCTCGTGGAAAATTTTGAAGTCATTTCTCACTTGTTATAACCAAACAGACTCAGAGAGAGGAAGTGAACGAAACAGAGGAACGGAGTGAAGGAAAAGGAAAGAAATGAGTCCTAAAGAGAAAACTACGAAGTAGAAACCTATCAAATGTGGATACCAACTCTAACGACCATGACATGCACCTGTAGCTATTCTATCAATCAATCCTGATGTTCAGCTCTTGTTGTACCTTTTCGCTGTGAAATTGGGCTTCAATGCTCCGCTTATCCAATCGGATTCATATTCCTTATTCGACTTGTAGTGCCCGGTCAAGTTCTCATTAATAAGACTCTCTCATTTTTATTCATCTCGGCTTTCATCGCCTTGCAGTACCCTTGAGGGTTTTCATCAATAAGACCCTCTCATTCCTCATTTCCCTTGCTTGGACCGGAGTGTTGCCCTTGATATGATTCAACTCTACTTGCTCGCCTTGGCATTTCTCTAAGACTGATCGGAAGGTCTTTCTTTGGACCGTAATGTGGCTTTTGGACAAGGTTAGAAAAAAGGGTATAAATGGCTCAAAAACAATTCAGAATGGTTTAAAAATTACAACTTTCGAAATCAAATTTCTTGCAACATCCACAACTTTTGCCCCAGTTTCTTGCTTGGGGACTATGGATTTTTATTTCGGTATGACTGAACCTCAGAGGAAGGCTGCCTACATACCCTTTCGGTATCAAGTCAAACGTAGTTCACGTCATAGAAATTACTTTGTTGTGTTTTTCTTTCTTTTCTCTTTTTTTTGTCCTTCTTTTCTTTTCTTTTTCATTTTTCTTTTCTTTCCTTTTTTTTTCTTTTTCTCTTTTGTTTCTTTCTTTTCTTCTTTTTCCTTTCCTTTTCTTTTTTCTTTTCTTTTAATTTGCTTATCTTCGGCACTTGCGTTCTCAATTGTGCCACTGATTTCGAAAGAGGGGTATGAAAGAAAACAAATAAGGCTCAAAGGGGATGACAAGGGATAAAGTGTTTAGATAGCAGAACAAAACGCCTTCGTCATTTCAATCTTCAAAAATATGCCAAGTACAAACAAGTATAATCAGAATAAAGAAATCATACATAGTATCTCTTGACCGCATCGGAATTGATAACCATTTTTACATATTTCCCTTCCACATCTGTTAAATATAATGCACCATTGGACAACACTCTCACTCTCATTACCGCGA